CCCTATCAGTTTCGTCAGATTGGGAGTAGGGGGTGAAAACAAAGAAAGACAGGTCTGGCCAAGAAATCCATACAATAGCAATCTGTTGGAATGTTACTCAGCCTTAAAAGAGAGGGAAATCCTGACTTGTGTGAGCACATAGATGAACGTAGAGGACGTGATGTTGAATGAAATAAGCCAGACACAGAAGGACAAACACTGCATGATTTCACTTCAGTGAGGACTCTAAAATAGTCAGACTCAGAGAGGCAGAGGATAGGACGGTGTTTGCCAGCGTTGGGTTGAAGGGGAAATGGGGAGTTGCTGTTCAGTTGGTATAGAGTTTCAGTTAAGTGAGATGAGTAAGTTCTAGAGATCTGCTGTACATCATTGTGCTTCCATATAGTGATTAAAAAAATCTATGAAGAGGGTAGATCTTATGTTAAGTGTTCTTACCATATTAAAAAACTGTTGGGTTTGCATCTTAGGGAGAGGCTGTCACATTTGTGGGAAGGGGCAAAATAGTGCCGTAAAGTCATTTGTGACAGTCCCTCAGGAAGGCCTTGGGACAGAGGGTTCTGGCCCAGACAGACTGCTGTCTCTGCATTTGAGGCCAGGTGTAAGAGGGTTGGTGACAGGGCATAACACAAACTCCTTAGTGTAAGGGTCACATTTATAGTAACCAGCTGTTCCCTCCAGTAGAGGCTTGGCAGAGAGACTGAAGGTCTGTGGAGCATGACACTCCTGTCCCGTGCAGCCCAGGGCCCGCCGTGTGGAGTGCACCGGCGGCAGGGGTGCCTGTGCTGTGTGCCCAGCTGAGCTCTCCTCCTGCTCAGATCCAGTGCACGCAGTTCATTAGTGTAAGTCTGATGTGTGCGTGATTTGCTGCCACAGAACAGAAGCCTGGCGAATAGTGTAATTTTTTTAATTAAAAGGAGATTTTTACCAGAGTTTGGGAGGAGGGAGAGGTAACTAGGCAGAGCACCGAGAATTTTTATGACAGTGAAACTATTCTGTTAGATACTGTAATGGTGGTTAGATGTCATTATAACATTTGTCCAAACTCATAGAGTGTACAGCCCAAGAGTGAACCCTGATGTTAACTTTGGGTGATTATGATGTGCCAGTGTGGGTTCATCTTTTGTAATATATGTGCCACTAGGGTGGGGGATTTTGATAATGGGAAGGCTGTGCCTGTTGGCGGAGGGCAGGGATATATGGGAAATACCTGTACTTTCTTCCCAATTTTGCTAAAACCGTTCCCAAAATATCTATCTTAAAAGAGGAAGAGTTTCACTTCTTCCAGCCTCATATTGCAATTTTGACTATCCTGTTTCTTTGTTCCCATATGAGGCTCAGGCCATTTGAAAAACCTCAGTGGGGAAAAAGGCCTTGTCAGAAAATTCAGGATTCAAACAGACTGTGGAGCACAGGGGCAGTTCCCAAGCCTGTGTCTGCAGCACTAGCTGCAGCCTCCTCACCTGCTCTGGCTTTCTGGATGGAAGGTGAAAGCCAGTGAGAGAGTGTCCTGCCCGTCTTCAATAATGTATTAAGCCTGATTTTTATTTTCTTGGCTATGGTATCATGGGAATAAATTATTGCCTATTTTTTGGTTTTTGCACATTAATCAGTGTTTTCAGTTAAGCTTTAACATTAGCATTAGGATGAGTTCTAAATTGTCACTGTTCCCTGCTGCAGTCTGTAAGAGGCAGTGCCTGACATAGCACCGTCCCATCTCATCTCTACTCTGCACCCTACAGCACCTGGGAGGTTGGGAAAGTGGGTGCTCTTCACTCCTTGTGCCAGAAAGAAAGGCTCCCAGCGGCTGAGACACTGGTCTAAGGTCTTGAGCCAGAAACTTAGTTGTCTGCTGATGTTCAGAATGTAGTCATACAAACTTTGTTTTATTGTATGCACATGTGAATGTGTATTATTTATTATTTTCCATTAAGAAATCCTTCTTCAAGGACATTACTTCCTTTAGGAAGGTGGGAGCCTGGCTCTCTTCTTGGAAAGGTACCTTGTAACCAGTAAGATACTCAATAGATGTTTATTGATGAATGAAAACAATGTATGAGCTCTGGGCCATTGTAAGTCAAGGCAGAGTGTGGCCCACTCCCTTGGGGCTTTCTCTGTTTCGTGTGCCAACTCCCTTCTCTTAGGGACTTTGCAGGGCGGGGTGAGGGGAGGCAGCTCAGCCTCTTTCTGTCTCTCTAGGTTGATTAACTCTGCTGTGGGTCTAACCTTCTTTCCTTCCTTTTCTCAGTCCTGTTATCTCCCCCATCTTTCTAATCTTTCCTAGGGTCCTTTCTAGAAATTTTTTTTTGCCTGTGTTTTCTATTATGAAAATTATCAAACACTGGAAAAAGAAAGGCTCATGTATGGCTCTACCCTTACAACATGTGCCACGAACTGAGCACCTCAGTGTCCTGGTTGTGGCCTCATTACCTGGACCCATGCTATTCAGTGGCCTTGGTCCTGGACATAACATACACATGACAACAGTCTTCTCCCAGCCCTTCTACCTCAGTCAGTGCTGTGTGTTTTTATAACATCATCAACTTGGAACCAGAGGCTTTCGTTTGATCTTGGTTCTGGCCTTTAAAGGTGCACAGTTGTGCAACTTACTTAATAACCTCCCCAGATTTGTTCCTCATGTGTAAAATGGATTAACATGACTATGAGGCGTTGATAAAATAATTTTTCTTACGCGTACATCTCTGCATGCAAGTGGTAGTAGTTATCATTGTTTCCAAGGGTTAAATGCAGAGTTTGGAATTGGACAGATTTGGAGTCAAATCCCAGCTCTTTGAGCCTGTTTGCATGTCTGTGAAATGGACTCAAAGATAGCTTCCCACAGAGCTTATGCGCAGCACCAACACAATGTATGTGACATACTTAGCTGGTGGGTGCCAGAACTGTCATCAGGCCTTCAAGATTCAAAGCTTCCTGGGGGCAGGGCCATGTGCTGTGGCTCCCACCATGCCCTCTGACCCTGGTAGAGTCTGCGTCTGCTGGAATCTGCCCCCATTGCATCCCAGTCCCACCTTCCTTATGTCACTGTGCCTTTCTCATGTCACCAAGCTTATGCCTACCTCACGACCTTTTCACGTGCTTTTAGCAGTGTGGAGTATTTTTCCTCCTCACAGAAGCATGGCTGACACCCTCCCTTCATCAGGCCTCTGCGCACCTTTCCTCTCCTCAGAGAGGCTGTTCCAGAGCACCATGTGGGATGGCACCGCTCCCCACCGTCAGCCTATTTCAGCTCACCTTGCTTTTGTTTTCCTCTGGCACTTTTCAGTATCCTGAGTGTTGTGTGCTTGCAGACAGGGTCTTTGGCCTATTTTGTTTATTCTTCACCCACAGTTCCAAGAATATTGCCTATGCCTTCTGGGTGCTCAAAGAATATTTATTGATCCAGTGAAATTTGAATCTTCATTGGTCATGCCTTGGTGACACCAGGAGAGAGATACCCGAGACATACACCTCTTCACAGGCACCTTAGAAGTCTTACTTTCTCATAGTATAACCCACAGGTTTCATGTTATTGAAAGTATGATGAAGAAGCCAGTGTGAAAACCTCATAGTCATATCCCCACAGGAGGGTCTATTTTTTTATCCTGCTTCTCTGAACAGGGGGACCTCCAGTTTCTGACCTAGGGGTTGGGGAGAAGTCCCCATTATTCATTCCTTGCCCTTCTTCCCCATGAAACCTAGGCTGTTGGATTTTAGCTCCTTCATTAACATCTAAGGACCAACATTGGTCCGATGACCCCATTTCTTCTTCAGGTTCTTTGGTGGGCTTCTTTCTCCAGAGCTTCCGAGTATAAGGGGACAGAGACCCACCTATTTATCTATTCATTCTTCCTCTCCTATTTACTCCTTCTCCTTCTGCGTATTTTATTTGTATGCCAATAGAATGGGAAGTGACATGCATTTCTTAGGTGTCTATAAAGGATTAAATGAGATAGTGACAGTAAAGACTTTGAACAGGGCTTGACAAATATAAGGGCTCAAGTTTTAGCTAAAAGGAATAAGCCAACAAATTAAATCTTTTCCAAAAGAGGATTTAAAGCAGCATATTAAAACATAAAAAATAAAATGAGGCCAGTGATGGGGAAATTGGCACAGGTGGAAATAGGGGTTGGAAAAGAAGATCAGAGGGAGGGTTAGGGCGCATCATGGTTGGCCCCTGGCCATGTACATTCACTAGCTGTGTAATTTTGGCCGTGAGCTTCCTAGTAGCCAATTCCAAGAGGGGAATATAGGTTAAAGGGTTTGTTAGGGGGAAGAAAATGAAAATAAAACTGGGTCTCCAGGAGAAATTCAGAAGTTCCTGGTCTTGAGATCTGAGAGATATGGTAAACAATGTCTTGAATATGTGGATGGCCAAGAGACAACAGTTGTTTGATGTAGATAGGAAACTTGGTGGTTATTTAATATAAAGGCATGGTTTACTGTCAGTGAATTCTTTCCTATGTAGATGATACCAGAAGAGTAGCTCCTATAAGTAATTATGGACTGTGTATTGGAAAGCCTTCCCCTTATAGTGTCAGCTGTATACTAACTATAGAAACTAGTGTGGGAAAATCAGGTATCTCAGTAAACTTGAGTAGTTCTATGTCAGTATGGACCCAGTCACTTGACCTGCTCTCTGATCTGATGTTGATAGACAACTGTAAGTGGGAATATATCATTGTTCAAAACAGATGTTGTCCAGCAGCGCCTTGAAAAACACTTAGAAATTGCAAGCCTGTTTTTTCCAGTTCAGCTGAGTATATTCACCAAGGAAGCACCTCCACATTTATTCTCATTCTGCCCTGCCCTTCTGTTTTGTATGGCTAATAAGAATTATTAACTGAGACCACTGGATAACTTAGATTGTATAGGAATTATTTTTGAAAGGAAAAGGGAACTTGTCTAGACTAGTCGCTCTAAATAGCACATAATCCAGATTGATGAGAGGACGGTGTAGCAGGTGAGATCTGCTGATTAATTTTGACTTTGCTTTCTTCCCGTAGATGAACTGCGGCAAGCTATCGTGGCCATGATGAACAGGAAAGATGAGCTGGAGGAAGAGAACAGGTATTGTGATCTTCAGGCCCGAGGCAGAGTCTGTTCTTTGACATTTCATCTCTAGGACAGACAGAGTATCACAGATGTAGAAAATTTGGCTTTTTTGGCAAAATTGTGACCAATGATTTTTTATTTTTTGTCTGCGAAGTGCCACTTTAGTATGTATGTTATAGTGTGAGTGTTAGCAAGGAATGAAAACCTTACAATCATGGCACCACCTTAGAACAAATTAAAAATCTGGTAAAGTTCTTTTGAAAACAGCCTTATTGAGATATAATTCATATACCATAAAATTCATCCACTTAAAGTGTACAGTTCATTGGTTTTTAGTACATTCACAGCTGTGTGCAGTCACACTACAATTTTAGAACATTTTTATCATATGAAAAGGAACCCCATATCCCTTTTAGCTTTCACCCTCTGACCTGCTCAAAGCAGTCTTTTGAGTAACCTTTAATTGAGGGCCTATCTGCCATGTTCCAGGCACTTCAAATACTTGTCTTAGAGTTTTCTCAAATAAAGGATACTTCAGGCAAGATGGTATTTGAATTCTTTTGACTCCCCCAAAAGCTCAGTTGCAGACATTGAGAGGGAAAAAGGTTTTTTGTCTTTTATTCCCTATTGAAATCTGTGCTAGATACCAGGCAGGTATCATCTGTGTCACTATGATCTGGCTACGTGAATGGGAGCTTCTCAATTGCCAGCACCTTGTCTTGACTACAAGGTGGTCAGTAGAGGGATTTGCCTACAGTTATTTGGCTGCCTCCCTGGGGGTTAGGGGTGGTTTGTGTCTGCCTTTATGTGTGCGTGCACATCTGTGGGTGTTTGTTCATGTCACCCTTTTATTCCTTTACTCAGAGCAGGAATTAAGCATCCATGGTGACATGTGATCATGATTATTCTTTTTAAACTCCGCTTTGGGGCTTGCTTGACAAGCTTCTCCCTCATCCTTTATGGAAACATATAAATGCAAACAAGCATGATTTCTAAAACAAAAGAGAATTTTTAAAAACAGAATCTTTAGACAGCACAATTTTCAAACTAAAACTTTCAACAAAGGGCTTGTAGACATCGCAGGATATATTTTTCCCCTGCTCAGGCAGAAGCCGTTATCTTGGAAGAAGCCATAGGTTTTGTCTTTCCTTGTGAGAAACAATAGTCACTGTTTGTTAATTTCTTTTTCCCAGAGAAAGAAAAACATCGTACCATGATTTGTGTCAGGGGGTTCCAGGCCCCAAGAAGGGAATTTTTTCAAAACTCTCAAGGAGCACAAGTCTTGGAGAGTTTGGTGAACAGCGGGGATGGGGAAGTGAGACACTTCGGCTTATATTCTGCTGTCACATAGCAAGTGTCCTCTAGATTTGGGAGGCGGATGCACCAAAGTCAGTAAATATTTTCTAGAAATAGCCATTTGAGGTCCAGTGAATTAAGTGGTCCGCGAAACCATGTTTAGCTCACTTCTAGGTGCAAGTGTATGGTTATCTCTGGATGAGCTGCTGTCTTCTCTGCTACTTAAGAGCAAGGATGACAGATTCACAAGTGAATGTGTTTTGGAGGGTTAAAAAACTCTAAATATAATATAAAATATGATATATGTGATGTCGAACTATATAGCTCTATGAAACTCTGTATATTCTTGTTTAACCTGGAGATGGCAGAAGGACAGGGTTACAGTGTGTTTTGTGGGTAGAAGTGGAAATGAGGGTAGACATCTGTCAGATAATCTGAGTCTGTGTTCTATTTTTATGGCTCAGATTATTCTTTTGGCCTTAACTGGCATTCTTTCCTTTTTAAATCTCTTCTTCAGTGTGGCTGTGACAAAATGGCCTCAGTTTAATGTACTGTACCTTTGAGTGGGGTATCTGTAAAGGGACTTGCCTGGGATTTGCTCAACACATTGTTTCTCTAGATTTGAACAGAGACAGAATCATGGATATGGAGAGTGTTTTGATGGTTGCCAGATGGGAGGGGTGTGTTGGGGAATGAGTGAGGAGGTGAGGGGATTAAGAAGTGCAAATAGGCAGTTAGAGAATTGCCATGGGGATGGAAAGTACAGGATAGGAAATGGGGTAGCTAAAGAATATATATGCATAACCCATGGACATGAGCAATGGTGGGGGGAGTGCCTCAGGGGGTAGGGGGTGCTGGTTGGGGGGCAGAGGGGGAAAAATTCTGACAAATATAACAGCATTATCAATAAAAATAATTAAAATAAATTTAAATTAAATGTTAACAAAAGCTGCCCATAGGCTATCAGGGACACAGAGCCTGGGCCACAGATTGTTCCCCTGGGGCCCATCCCAATTATTTCTCTGAAGCTTTTGAGCAGAGTTTGGTATCTCCTCAGATGACTTTATAGGGGGTAGATTTGAATTATGATTTTTGCAGAGCCTTGTGGAAAACAAATGAATTAGGACTTGACTTAGGTAAATAACTGTGTTCTGGGCTCGATGGACTCTGGGTTAATAGCATCTGAACAGATGGGGCTTCCTCTTCCCAGATCGCTGCGGAACCTGCTGGACGGTGAGATGGAGCACTCAGCTGCCCTCCGGCAAGAGGTCGACACCTTGAAAAGGAAGGTGGCTGAGCAGGAGGAGCGGCATGTCACAAAGATTCAGGCATTGGCAAGGTACGAGGGCAGAGGCTCTGGGAGGTAGGTGTGGGGAGGCTTTATTAAAACCCAAGCACACTTTTACCAGCACATTTTAATTAAAAGAAGATAGTGACCAATGGAAATAAAATTTATGCATTTGAGATTTTAGTATTTCATTGAATACATATTGAATAATATGTATGCACGTGGTTCAAAATATAAATGGTTAAAGTGTGCAATCTCTAGTAATCCAGTTAGCCCCGGAGGTGGGCGATATTATTCCAGAGATGCTCCATGCATACACAAGCTGATGTGTGTGCACGTACTTTCTTTTCATTTCCCTCCCTGCATCCCTTTATTCTTTCCTTCCTTAATGCACAATGATGGCATATCTTCCATACCACGCACTTCACATTGTAGAGACTGTTCTGTGTTGGTGTACACAGAGCTGCCATCTTTAATAGCTCATATTTCATTGTCTGGCTGCACCAGAATTCATCTGACCAGTCTGCCAACAGCCAGTCACTGAAGTGGATTTTAGTCTTTTGCTACCTAATAATGCTGCTACAAATAAGCGTTGCATTTATTATTTTGGTCCTGTATGACTTTATTTGTTGGAAAAAATTCCTGGAATAGAATTGCAGGGTCAAAGTTCTGTGCTTTTCTCATTTGGACAGAGTTCACCAACTTGCCCTCCATGGAGGCTGAGACAATGTACATTCCACAGCAGAGGGGAGAGGGCATGCGTGCACAGCCGTGCCCACAGGGGTCGGCTCCAACTTCTGGGTCTTTGATAATATTGCAGGTGAAAAATGGCACTGGCAGGGTATTTTTCATTTGCATTTCCTTAATTGAGATTATGGTTGAGTCTATTTTTATTTAAGAGCCATTTTATTTTTCTGTGACTTTGTTCATATCTTATTCAGGAAAACTATAAGCTGAACCCCCCAAAATCCCAGCTTCCATAAAAACATGCATCTTTACAGAATTTGTTCACATAGGAAGCTATTTTTATGTACCGTACTTAAAATCTATAGCCTGTCATTGCTTAGCCTGGCTGCCTGCACCACTTAAGGTTCATGTTAACCATTTCTGTGTGTGTAGATACAGCCTTTCATTGAATTGATGTACTATATTAAAATAAACTTTTGATGGACGTTTGAGTTCTAGTTTTTTCCCTATTTAGGTAAGATAAACAGTTTATTGGTTGTTACTTAAAGCTACTTTCAGATAAGACCAGGAGATAAATGTGCCTCGTGGCCGTGCAGGGGAATGTGGCGTTAAGTGAATTTCCAGCAGCGCATTTATCATCCCTGTGCTGTCAGTGCCAGTGTCACTAATGTAATTGTTCTGTACGTGTAATCGGAGGTTGATACCATGATCCAATGTTCAACTGCAATTGGAACTTCTCTCCTTTCTTTACATCTTAAAATGACATCTCAAGAGTGTCAGATACAGTTAAATGGCGATGACAAATAACAGTAATCGGTGTCTAATTTGGCATTTCATCAGCCGGACCACCATTTGACCTGCCCATGCTAGGATTCTGTGGTATAATGGTGTTTGCTTAAAATAAAGGCTGAAGTCTGTAGAGACTCTGATTCTGAATCATCAGAGAAAGACAGACTTACATTCTCTGTCGCTTTTGGGTTGTGTTAGGAGTCTGCTTAGCCTCGAGTCCCTGCTCCACTGCTTGAAGATTGTGTGCTTCTGAAGATTGTGAATGGCTTAACTTTAACAAGTCTGCATTTCCTCATTGACAAAATAGAGAGACTAATCTTATTTGTCCACCTGAGAGGATCGAATGAGGAAGAGTGTACGTGGAAGTACAGAAGGCTCTGGACGTGAGCAAGTTATTGCAAGTGTACTTTACAGGAAACATATTTTAGTATATGATAATTCTTAGAAAAATTTTAGCCTGTGAGGGTGGAGTAGAAAAATTTTTCTTAACCAAGCAATTTTATAATCTGAAGTCTCCTCATTTAAACAATGGGTAGCCAAGAGTTCGAGGTGCCTAAAAGTTTACAGGTGGAAGGAACAACTGTAAAATGAGCAAATACTTCAGGAAAAAACAGGAAGAAAGTACACAGAGAGGCTGGACATGTACGTTTTGAAAACTTCAACTGCTGACATGTTCCAGGCAAAGTTAATCTTTGCCAACTGTCAGAACTTTCTTCTTGCCGCAGGAGGAGTAGATGTCCGTGTTTTCAAATGGTAGTCCTGTGTGGTCAGCTGTTTCTTGGGGACTATGTGGCACAGGCAGGGTGGGGCAGTGGGGCAGTGAGGCTGGAGGCAAGGCCTATGTGTGTTCATTGGGGCCACCCTATTCTCAGGTCCACGTATGTTTAGGTGGCAGGTATCATAATGCCAGTGGTTTAGCCTAGTGGTTGGTGCCGGGGATTCTAGCCTGGGACTGTGGGGGTCTGACTGTGGCTCTGCTGCTTATTAGTTGTGTGACCTTGAGCAAGTTACTTAATTTCTCTGTTTATATTTCCTTAGTTATAAATTGAGGATAAGAAAACTCTCTACTTTATAGGGTTGATGCACAATAAAATGAGATCGTATGTCAGTTCAATAAATGTGTTCCATAAGTGCTCAATAAATGTTAACTATCATTATCATTTTTCCTTAGTATAATAATTACATTACTAAGAAAACTTGCTTAATCAAAAGTTATAGTTTAATGGCAGTGGTGCAGAAAGAATTAAGTACTAGGCTATTTCAGACTCAAAAATTATTTTTGCTTTAACTATTCTAAGAGTGTGTTTGTGTGTATGAGTATTTTACTGGCTCCTAGTATAAGCTAGTTGTAAAACTGGAACATCTCTGAACAAATTGAGCATTTTATTGCACATTTCTTTTCTTTCTTTCTTTCTTTCTTTTTTTTTTTTTTTTGCTCAAAATTAATGGCTTTCCTATTGTGCCATCATGACCCAACCAAGAGCAAGGTCATATAGCCAACCCAGGGATTGTGTGGCCCCAAGAGGCTGCTTGTTTCTGATGCGGAGGCATTATAGTCAATAACAGTTCAGGGTAGGTAAATCTCGTTCTCTAAGCAATTGGTTGCCTTACTTCCCACTGAATGAAGAAAATTCAAACTGTGAGATAGGCATCCACAGAAAGATGATACACATTGACCTGAGAAGTACCTTTGAGAGAAGCAAGTGAACAGGGTTGTTGGATTATTGGGGAGACATTTTCTTTTCTGTTCATTGTGCTAGTTACCTCTTGCTGTTTAATAAATTTTCTCCAAACTTGGCAGCTTAAAACAACAAACATTTATGATCCTCCACAATTTCTGTGAGTTAGGAATCTGGGAATGGCTCAGCTGATAGGTTCTGGCTCTGAGTTTCTCATAAGGTTGCAGTTAAGCTGCTGGCCAGAGCTGTAGTCATTTGAGAGCTTAAGCTCACTCAGGTAGCTATTGGCAGGAGGCGTTAGTTCCTTTTCACGTGGGCCTCTCCAGAGGGCTGCTCACAACACAGCAGCTGGCTTCCGAGAGTGAGTAACTCAAGAGTGAGAGAATACACTCAACATGGAAGCCACTGTGTCTTTTATAACCTAGTCCTGAAAATGAGGCACGATTACTTCTTCAATATTCTGTTGTCACATAGATCAACCCCAGTGTGCATGCCAAGAGGTGGGGATCATTGGGGGCCACCTTGGAAGTTGCTTACCGTGCCCACCAGGCTTCTGTTCCTCCTTGGGGCAAATACTACCCCAAGTCTTTCTTGGCAGATTCTTCCCCCCCACTCCCCATCGCTACCCATGTAGTTTGGTGTGACTGACCCTACCGCTGCCTGTCCTGGGTTCCAGAGCAGGCCAGATGATCCAGGCCTTGACAGTCAGCTTGTTCCATTCCTTGGCCATCACAGTTGGGTCAGAGAAGGGCATGAGGCCAGGCTGATCTGAGGAGCTGATGATAGCATTCTTGAGAGGATATGAGGTAAGCTAGGAGTTGTTGGCAGCTGTTTTTGCTATTATGTGGGAAGATCCACATGGTAACAACACAGTGGAGAATAGAGGGAGAGAGAAACCTACAGGTCCTAGTGATATCACTTGAGCTCCTGGATCCAGTCTTTCCTGAAGCTGTTTTTCCTCTGGACTTTTCAGTTATGTGAGCCAATGAATTCTTTTGTACTTGAGCCAGTTTGTTACTGGTCTTCTCCCATTTGTAATTCTGAGTCCAGACTAATGAGGCTTCGTAGTTTGGACTGGAGCAATTCATTTTTTTCCTGTGCTCCCTTAAGAATCAACCTACCAGATCCATGAAGACACTTCCAGTTTGTTGTGATTCACCAAGGATGTGAACACAACCTACTGGATTGTTTGACAGAGCACTGCTCAAGGCCTTTTCTCCTGTCTTTCATGTTAGGACCAGCCTTCCTATTATTCTTTTGTCACAGCTTTTCTCTCTTGTTGCAGACCTCTGGTGCACTAACAAGAACATGTTGTCAGTTGTGTGACCAGAGCCATTCCCTTTACCTTTCTGAGCCTCTGGCTCTTTGTCTGTTTTAAAATTTAAAAGGAGGTGGGTGACATGGTCCCCTGCCCCCATATTTCACATAAGGATGCTATGTGACTGTGTCCTGGCATAATATAGTCTTTTTAAAATAATAGTTTATTTATTTTTAGAGAGAGTGGAAGGAAGGGAGAAAGAGAGGGAGAGAAACATCAATGTGTGGTTGCCTCTTGCATGCCCCTACTGGGGACCTGGCCCGCAACCCAGGCATGTACCCTGACTGGGAATCAAACTGGCGATGCTTTGGTTCGCAGTCTAGTACTCAGTCCATTGAACTACGCCAGCCGGGGCAGATACAGTCTTAGCTAGTATTAATATGCCTTTGGCAGTGGAAGCCCAAATGAAATTAGCTTGGGTTAGTGGGAATTTTGTGTGGCTGTAACTGGTCGGTTTCTTCAGGTGTCACTGGAACTGGGTCAGGTGTCTCCAGTGAGGTCAGTGCTCTTTCTCCCCTGTTCCTGGCTCTGGGCCCTCTGGATGTTTCAGTGTCCTTAGGTAGAGCCTCTGCACACAG